GAGAAAATTTTTATTTTTGTAGTGGTCATATTTGACAGTCATTTTTCATTATAGTTTATGGGTTTTGTATCTTAACTTTGGGAAGGCCTTTCCCATACAGGTATTATAAAAATGGAAAATAGTTTCTTTTAGAAAAAATATTTCTTGTTTGTGGTAGGTGTTGATCCTATTATCTGGGAACAAGCCAAGGTGGATAACCCTGATTCTGAAAAGTAAGTGTATGTTCATCTTATTTTCATATAAGAACTAATATTTGCTACTAGGGAAGCAAACAGATGCAAGCTATTTAATTCTTATGTTTGAGGTGGGTTTATTTTCATTTCTATTGCTTTTTACATAATGTTGACTATGGTAAGGCAGCATAGTGTGGTGAAAACATTGAAATCTGAGCCAGTACTCCCTAATTACATTTGCATTTAATAATGTAACTTCTGACTGAAGTGTATTTCCTCATTTGTAAAATAGGGAGGTTGAATAAAATCTCTGTGGTGTTACATTGTTGATTTCATAGTCATAGATCTGCCTTCAAACCCTAGAAATTTAATGTGAAATTATATGAATGTTATTATGAAAACCTTAACTTCTTGTACTTTGTGATGATAGACATAAGATCCAAAAATTGACCACTTGCATTTCTTCAGGTTAATTCCTGTACCAATGGTGGGTTTCAAAGAACTTCTTCGAAGACTGAAGGTTCAAGATCAGATGACTAAGCAGCATCAGACCAGATTAGATGTAAGCATTTAGCTTCATTCTCTGGCCCTGGGAATAGTATAAGGGATCATTGACATTTCTTTTTATCATGTGTTATTTGTCATAGTATAATTGTAAGTTAATGAAGCAGATTTAAATTATTGAATGCTTAAATCTACATAATATTTTATAAAGTAGACTTTTGTAATCGAATACCTAAATGTTCTTAAAGGTCACCTCCAAATTCCCTAAATGGAATTTCTGATGAGATATTCATTCAGATTCTGAGTAATGAAAAGCTTACTGTTTTATGAAGGAATCCATTTCACTGTCAGCTATCTCTAATTGATATGAATTCTCTTATATTGAACCAGTATCTGCCTTGCTCTAATTTACGCCAGTATTTTCTGACATTGCTTTGTAGGTAATCACTGTACTTCCTATGACAGCTGTACAGATATTCGAATATCATAAACATTCTTCCTATTTAGTATTCACTTCTCTGGCTGAAAATTCCAGTGTGGTTTTGCATGTGACATGATTTCCAGACCCATCATTAGCTTAGGTTTCCATTGATTTTTCTCTAGTTGTCTGTTTATAATTTGATTAGTTTCTACTCTTAACCATTTCCTTTATTCGGTTTGCTTTATTTTTCTCTCTTTTTAGTTTCTTAAGGTAGCAGCTTAGGTTATTAATTTGAGACCTCTTGTCTTTTATAATGTAAGCATTTAATGCTGTTAATTTCCTTCTAAGCACTGCTTTACCTGATTTCCACAAATTTTGATAATGTTGTATTTTCATCTTTGATCCATTAAAAATGTTTTCTAGTTTCCCTTGAGATTTCTATTTGACTGTTGGGTTTTTTGACCAATGGATTATTTAGAAGTAAGTTTCACTTCTAAATGTTTGGAGATTTTCCTGTTCTGTTGTTATTTCTAGTCTAATTCTGTTATAGTCAGAGAACTTTGTAAATTTCAGTTCTTTTAACTTTGTTAAGATTTTTAACCCACATGCCCTTGAAAAGAGTGCATTCTTCTGTTCTTGGGTGGAGTTCTCTGTTAGCGTGAGATCTGCTTGGTAGATTATTTAGTTCTTCTATATTCTTACTGATTTTTCTGTTTAGTAGTTCTATTGTGAAAGTTGAAATTTCCAGCCATAGTTGTTGATTTGTCTTTTTCTCCTTTTCATTCTATCAGTTTTTCCTTTGTGTATTTTGAGGGTCTGTTGATAGGTACATACTTGTGTGTATCTGGGATTATTACATTTACTTAGCAAATTTTCCTTTTATAATTATATAATGTCCCTCTTTATCCCTGGTAATTTTCTTTGCTCTGAAGTCTTTGATTTTTACATAAAGCCACTGTAGCTTTCTATGGATTACTGTTTGTTTGATATGTCTTCTCATCCTTTAATTTTAACCTACTTAACAGTCATGTGCTGTTGAAGGACAGGGATACATTCTGAGAAAGGTGTCCTTAGGCAATTTCGTCATTGCGCAGACATCATAGAGTGCACTTAACAACCTTGATGGTAGAGCCTACTACACACCTAGTCTATATCTGTATGGTATAGCCTGTTGCTCCTAGGCTACAAGCCTATACAGCATGCTACTGTGCAAAACAATAAGAGTAAATCAAGCACAAGAGAAAATGATGTAATCAGGAGATGCGGTAAACACAAGATGTATGAGGGTGCTGCCTGTTTAACACAGCACACTGCTTTACAGCAAACCTTTTTTTATAAGTAGAAAGTACAGTCTAAAATAATGATAAAAAGTATAGTGTAGTAAATACATAAACCAGTAACATGGTTGTTGATTATCAAGTACTATGTACTGTATGTAATTTATGTGCTATACTTTTATACAACTGGCAGCACAGGTTTGTTGACACCAGCATCACCACAAACATGTAATGCATGAACTATGACCTTAGGAAACTATGATGTGTCTATGCGTTAGAAATTGTTCAGCTCCATTATAATCTTAGGGGGCCACCATCATTGACCAGAACGTCATTATGCAGCCCTTGACTGTGTATCATATTTAAAGTGAGATTTTTGTAAATGGCATGAAGTTGGGATTTAGGCCTACCATTTTATTATCTGTTCCTTGTTTTTCATTCCTGTTTCCTCTTCCTCTGCCTTTTTGTTATTTGGACATTTTTTAGCATTTCATTTCTATCATTCCAACTGTCAGCTTTTTTATGGTTGCTCTAGGGCAGTTCTCAGTGGGGGGTTGTGGTGGTGGTGTCTCCCTGGGCACATTTGGCAATGACTGGAGATTTGTTGGGTTGTTACAACTAGGGCGTGCTATAGGCATCTAGTGGGTAGAAGCCAGGATGCTGATAAACATCCTAGAGTATACACTACAGTGCCACTGCAACAAAGAATTCTATGTCCCAAATTAATACAGGCATACCTCACTTTATTGCTCTTTGCTTTATTGTGCTTTGCAGAGATTACATTTTTTACAGATTGAAGGTTTGTGGCAACCTTGCATCCAGCAGGTCTTTCAGCACCATTTTCCAGTAGCATTTGCTCACTTCGTGTCTGTCACATTTTGGTAATTCTCACAATATTTCAAACTTTTTTATTATTTGTCATGGTGATCTGAGATCAGTGATCTTTGATGTTACTATTGTAATTGTTTTGGGGCTCCATGAACCATGCCCATGTAAGATACCAACTTAGTAAATGCGTGTGTTCTGACTGCTCCACCAACCAGTCCTTCACCCATCTCTTTCCCTCTCGGCCTCTCTATTCCCTGACACACAACAATATTGAAATTAGGCCATTTAATAACCCTACAATGGCCTCTAAGTGTAAAAGTGAAAAGGTTGTATGCCTCTCACTTTAAATCAAGAGCTAGAAATGATTAAACTTGGTGAGGAAGGCATGACAAAAGCCGAGATAGGCTGAAAGGTAGGCCTCTTGCCCCAGTTAGCCAAGTTTTGAATGCAAAGGAAGTTTTTGAAGGAAATTAAAAGTGCAAGTGCTACTCCAGTGAACAAATGATGAGAAAGTAAAATGGCCTTACTGCTGATATGGAGAAAATTATTGTGGTCTGGATAGATTACACCAGCTATAGCATTCCTTTAAGCCAAAGACTACTGCAGAATAAGGCCCTAACTCTTAAATTCTATGAGGCTGAGAGAGGCGAGGAAGCCACAGAAGAAAAGTTTGAAGCTAGCAGAGGTTGGTTTCATGAGGTTTAAGGAAAAGAAGCCATCTCTATAACATTTAAGTGCAAGGTGAAGCATCAAATGCTGATGTAGAAGCTGCAGCAAATTATCCAGAAGATCTAGCTAAGATAATTAATGATAGTGGCTACATTTTTTTAAACATACTGCTATTGCACACTTAATAGACTGTAGTATAGTATAAATATTAATTTTTTTATTAATTGGAAACCAAACAAATTGTGTGACTCTATTGCTATATTCCTTTTATTATGGTGGTCTGGAATCAAACCCGCAGTATCTCTGAGGTATGCCTGTGCCTGTAGTGCTAAAGTTGAGAAACACATCTGTGGATATTACAGTGTATCTCCTTACACCAAACCTAATAGGCTTTTGTTGGAGCTGTCAGCATGATGCTCACTTCTAGGTTTGGGGCTGTGTTGAAACCAGACTAGGGGAATGCCTGAGGGGGAAAAAAGTGGTAAACTCACTACCAGTTCAGTGGTACTTCATGTCTTCTTCCCTGGTCCTCCTGCCAGTATTTATTTTTCAGAGTTCTCAAATACTTGTCCAGGCATTCTGTTCAAATTTTATAGTATATTCAGTGGGAGAGAACAGAGTGGCATGTCGTACTTAGTTCATCTTGTCCAGAATTGCAATCGTTCATGTCTTTTGCCAATTTTCCTACTGGGCTTCATTTCATATCTTTTCTTTATTGAATTTCAGTTCATCATTTACTGTAGATTTTTAATTCCTAGTCTGTTTATAGCATTGCAGATGTCTCCTACTATCTCATCTGTCTTTGGTGTCCTTAGTTGAACAGAAAACCTTAATTTTAATTAATGCTATCCATCAGTTTTTTGCTTTGTGTTTTCTTTTGGGGAATTTGCTTAAGAAATCATTCTTCACCCCAAGATCTAAAAGTTCCTACATTTTTTTCTAATATTTTAGATTTTAACCTTTAACATTTGGGTTTTCTGTCCTCATGGAGGTCAACTTTATATATAGTAAGTGGTTATGAACCCAACTTTATTTTTCTCTAGATAGTGGGCCAATTTTTCCAATGTCCTCTACAAAAAATTTGTTTTCCCCAATGATTTATCAAAACATTTATTAAATCAAGTTCCCATATATGATGTAGTCTGTTCTTAAATGAATTTTACATTTTTTTTCTTTTTTTTTTCTCTTATGGCTTTGGAAGAATATCTTAATAATGTGGTAGAGTGAATCTCCAATATTCTTGTTTTCAGAATTTTTTATGCTCTTTATGGATATTCTACAAATTTTACAGTCAGTTTTTCAGAGTGTTAAGAGTTTTAGTTGGAATTGCATTTAAATGTATAGTTTGTAGAGAACTGAATCTTAACATGTTCATGATGGAATGATTTAATATTTTTTCTTTACTCATTAAGGTCTTTTATATCCTTTGAAACAGTTTTAAAATATACTCTTTAAAAACCCTGTGCATTCTTTCTTCAGTTAATTCCTAGATTGTTTGTGTTTGTCAATAAATACTGCAAATGGTAACATTTCTAGTTTTTATTTATTGATGGTATAGAAGAACACTATAATTACTCATGTCCAAAAGCCCTCCTGACTTTTGAAAACTGGGATGGGAAGGGTGCCTAGGTTACATAATACAAAAAACATGGCCTGGAATTGGAAAGTTTCCTTAAAAAGTGACAGTGCATGTGGACATGCTAAAATATATTTTGCACATCTTACCCTTTATTTTAATATTTCAATGTAAGCCAATGCCATAGAATGATTAATTACGATTGGAACAATTATGGGATTCTGATTTGGAAACTTGATTGAAATGGGATTTTAACTCAGTCTGTAAGGTTAATACTTCATCAGGCAGAACGGTGGGATTTCAGGCCAAGCAAAGAGCAAGTCACATATTCAGAGGCATAAAAATGTATTCGGTTGTGTAATTAATATCCTTCCTTTTCCCCCTTCTCTGATCATTCACCACAAAGTGCTCTGTAACAGTTAATAATTGGATTATATTTTCTGGAAGTAGTTAGATTTAATTGTCTATTAAGGTCCCTCCTGGGTGTCACTTTATAGCTCTTAACTTTTTCCATTCATGGCCTAGTTGTTGGCTCTATTCCATAATATTACTTCAAATTCCTTAATTATTTCTGAAGTATATGTTTTAGTTTTCTATACACTTTGCCTCATTAACTAAATTTCCTAGAGCTCTAGAGAAATTTTTGAACGGTATGTTTTAATTTTTAGATGTACAAAGATGGAGAAATATAAAGGCAAATTTAAAAGGAAAGAGTTTGTATTTTGAAGGATGAATCTCAGGCTCATCTGAGAAATTAGACTTTGTGTATAGGTGAACCTGATAAGTAGTTGTGATATCTATACTTGATTTACCTTAAAAAAATTTCTTTTAAACAGATCATATCAGAAGATATTAGTGAATTACAGAAGAATCAAACTACAACTATGGCCAAAATTGCACAATACAAGAGGAAACTCATGGACCTTTCCCATAGAACCTTACAGGTAATAATTTAGATATTTTTTCACATTTATAAGACTATGTGATAGAAGTGCTAAATATGGATTTTTGCAATAGAAAAACAGACCAAAAGGTACTAGTAATAGTCTGAAACTGAAAGTACTAAACTTTCTCAGTAAAACCTGGAAGCTGGAGGAGCGGTCTCACAGGATTGGGTGAAGAAAGTTAAAAATATTCTGAAATTCACATCGTACTGAGAGGGTGGGGGAAAAGCAGTAAAATAAATCATCTTGATGTAAGGAAATCAGATCAGTATCTGGTTTTCATAAAAATATAAAAATACATTTTTGATTTTGAGTGCTAGAAAAGGGAGTGTAACTATTAATGGATTAAAGAGAATGATAGAACTTCCAAATTCACAACAGGAAAAAAAAAGAATGAATAGCAACAAAAACAAATTATCAACTATCATGAAAACAGAAACGTATACCAGAACTAGTGGGACACAGCAAAACCTGTATCCAGAGGAAAATTTATAGCCTTAAAAAAAGTGTTCATTTTTAAAATACAAATGCAAAAAATAAGGAACTTAGTATTTATTTTAAGCCAAAAGAAGCCAGTGTGAGAGAAATAAAGATAACGTAAAATGAGTGAAACAAAAAAAGTTGATCATAGAATAAATTGAAAAGCTGTTTCTTTGAAAAAAACCATTAAAATGGCTAAACATCTCATGAGTCTGAAGAAGGAAAAGAAAAATTTGTGAGAAAGGAGACACTACCACGAATATATAGAACAGAATAATACTGTGCGCAATTCAGGGCAACAAAGTTGGACACTAGAAGAAACATGATTTTCTAGCAAAATTGAAATTACCAAAATTAATCTACAGAGAGGTAAAAATCTTAAATTGACAAATACCATAGAAGCAATTGGGAAAGCTCTTAATTGGGAAAATGCACCAAGTCCTCATAGTTTCATTGCTGAATTTTGTCTGACTACTAAATTGCTAATTCTAAAGTTATTTTAATTATTCCAGACAAAAGTATAGACAGCTTCCCCCATCTTTAAAAACAGTTTTATTGATATAGAATTCATATACCATACAATTTATCCATTTAAAGTGTACTATCTGTGGTTTTTAGTATATTCAGTCTTGTGTGACCATCACCACAATTTTAGCTCATTACCCTAAAAAGAAACTACATACCCATTAGCGGTCACTCCCCATTCTATCCCAAACCCCCCAGCCCTTCTTTCTCTATGGATTTGCCTATTCAGGACACTTCATACAAATGGAATCATATATGTGGTCTTTTGTGACTGGCTTTTTTCATGTAGGTTCATGTGTGTTGTAGCATGTAACAGTACTTTATTCCTTTTTTATTGCTAAATAATATTGCATTGCATGAGTATACCTTTTTTGTTTTTGTTTATTTGTTTTGTTTTATTTTTTAGCTGAGCCATCCTGCCACCTGTTGGCAGCTTAGTGGCTGCTCAGCTCGGGCCGGGAATTGAACCGCTGTTGCTCAGAGCTCAACCTCTTGAGCGAGCTCTTAACCAACTGAGCCACTCGGCCGGCCCTCCACATTTTTATTTTTCATCAATTGATGAACATTTTGGTTGCTTCCACTTTGTGGCTATTATAAATACGTTACTGTTAACACTTGTGTATAAGTTTTTACACAGTTGTATGCTTTCATTTCTCTGGGTATGTAAATCTAGGATTGGAATTGCTTAATCATATGGTAACTCTACCTTTAACTTTTTGAAGAACTGCCAGACTGTTTTCCAAATCAGCTGTACCATTTTTCATCTCAGTTTTTAGTACCCCAAAATAAAACCTATAAACAGACACTTCTAATAGAGATGCAAATTATGCTAAGTTAAAGAAGCCAGGCTTAAAGGCTATATATGTGGCATGATTTCATTCATAATGACATTATGCAAACGGCAAAACTAGAGACAGATAACAGATCAGTAGTTGCGGCAGGAGATGAGGGGAAAGGAATGACTTTAAGGGCAGGAGGGAACTTTTTGGGTGACATGGAAATGTTCTATATCGTGATTGTGGCGATGGTAACATGACTGTCAAAATTCACAGAACTAGACACCAAAATGGGTGAATTTTGTGGTATGTAGATTATACCTCAATATATCTGACTAAACAAATAGAAATGCAGTAATTCTAAATGAAGTATAAGCAAAGAAAATCCAGCTATTTACCAAATTCTAAAGGAATATACTGTGACTAAGTAAGGTTTATTTCAGGAACAGGATTGGTTCT